TTCATATGATTATAAAGATCTTGTATCTTACTCTAGCTTGTTTTCAAAAAAGGGATTATAATGACAAAAAATACATGGTTTTAAAAGAGCCATAACATGAACATAGTAAAATTATCTATACAATAGAAAACAGAATTATTAAGAGGAAACATTAGGCTTCTTGATGCATTAATTCCACTTGCATAGGAACAATTGTTCGTGAGATATTGTTTCTAAGAGAAAAAAAATCAAGGGTAAATAATTATTGTGACAAAAAATTTCAACGAGCCTCTGTCAGCCTAGCAGCAATACAAATAAATGGAGGTTGGGCTACGCCCACGCTTCCGTTTCCAATCCCTGTCATTTAATATCTATGCATATGATGCATCACGTCACGTTGACAAGTGCCACACCCCATTGTGGGAATAAGCTGTTAGAGCCATTGGTTGCAATGGTAAACAAGCTTAACAGGGTAAAAAGTATTCCTATAATTGATTTCACCACCTTGCAAGTACAACTTGGTCATTATTAAGACTTATAGAGGTTCTCTCTACCTTATAATGCTTCTAGAGAAGTCTTTAGACAGTATCTCTATGCTCTCTTGCTGTTAGAAAGCTCTTAACTTTGTCCCATGTGTAAGCCGCCATTTTGTTTGCCGTGACCACACCCACTCACGTAAAGGAGCGTGGGCGGATGGTTGCTAAGGCTTGTTATTTCTCCAATACAACATGTATAGAAGAAATGTAAGTGTGGACATACAAATATAGATAGCGCGACGGTGAATTCAATTATAGGAACGACCTGTGGGCTTCGCCCCCAGGTCGTTAATAATTGCTGTGTTTTTGGCTGCTACAGCTTTGCAGGCAAAAAAACTTGCCTGATATTCTTCTCTTCTCTACTGAAGAAGAAAAGGAAATGAAAAAATTGGACAGAAATCGTTAGGAGAGCAAGATGGAAGCAAAAGAAGCAGGAAAGATTTTGTCCATAAACAGCTCACTGCAGGTTGCTTGCAATAATGTTTCTGATGGTTTAACTGATTTCTAGACAAATTGCAAGATAATTCCGATCATATAGACTACTTTTTAACACTAGCTTCCTGCTGTAACATAGCAAAATAATAAGCAGAAAAATAAGTAATGCCTGGTAATTCAAGGTAAGCAATGATAATGCAAGCTGTGAATCTACTCCTAACTGCAGTTTCAGCTATAAAAAGTGATGCAACAACATGAGAACAACCTTTATCATACCACAACATGCAGCCTGAGGGAGACTAAAACTGAATAACTGATCTGAAAGTCATCAATCAATGTATAGCAGTGACAAGGAATGATTTTTCAAGTGTTTTGTGTTATTTACTGATGAATTTGTCTCTATTTACCATCTAGTTCTTTCAATTGAATATGTCCTGAGTTCAATGAGTGGCCATAAAGAGGCCATTACTCATGTTTTCTAAAAAATTAACTATTTTTTGTGATAAATATGGGTAGTTTGTGTCTTCAAGACCGGGATGACTTAGTTACTCAACGTGTCTCCTCTGCTAAAGTGAGTTCAAGCTCTTGCAATAAGTATTTTCCATTGCAATGCATGCATCTTTCCCACAATTGGGCGTGGTACTTGTCATCGTGATCGTGACCATAGATATTATATTATAGAGTATCTATGTTGTGACAGCATTCTGATTCATTTCCTCAGGTTATTATGGTTAATACTCAATGAATAAATTATCTTGAAAACATGAATGAAAGTTTTAAAAAGTCAGCAATAATTATGACAAATTAAAACTATCCCATGTACACTGTTGTCTATGACAGCAATCCATGTTAGTAGTAGCATTATAATGGTATGATGCAGCATTGTCGTAGGAGACTTTTATTTCAATTAAAATGAATTATCATATATTAATTCAATAAAAAAATTAGCCTAACTAATAGTTCAGCAATCCACTCAAACAGCTCTTTTAACTAATTGTTTATATTTTAGCAGCAAGTTTTCCCATAAAATAGACTACTGGAAGGCACGCATATAATATCACCAGTGTAGATGGAAAACCAAATATGAAGTAACCAAGAAATGAAATACGATACTCGGCTGAGCTTCGTGCTTTTTCTGCAACAATGAGATTAGCCACACTTCCAATAAGAGTGAAATTACCAGCTATAGTAGAAATCCAGGCAAGGAGTAACCCACCTAATGGTCCACAATCATCACAGAGGTCAGATACACGACCAACAATCAATATCACTAGTGGTACGTTACTAAATATATTAGAACCAATGATGACAAAGACAGAGAATAGTAGAACACCTTCAATTGTATTAAGATTCATGTGAGGAGCTAAATACTCAAATGCCATGAATGGAAAGCAGGTGTTTCGGAAACCTCTAAGCCAGACAAAAAGA